TCCAGTATTTTCTGATTTTTTTTTACCAGACAGGAGGCAAAAATAACGGACTGTCCGGGTCAATACCAGACACCTGGCAACCCTGCACCCAACAAAACAGATTAGCCTATAAACCTATGCCGTTTACAAGTATTTAAATGTTTCTATAACTATGAAATTTCACAATCCTGTTTGATTACTTTCAGGTACCTGAGACTGAAGGACCTTGTAAGAATTCCTGATATTGCCACATACTGAATTGCCTGGTTCCTGCACTGGAATTTAACTAGAAGACTATGTTTAAATTCCTTGAATTTTCAAAGCCTAAACACATCTGTATGGATAAGATTCCATTCAGGCAGACTGGTGATCCAGCAAAGCTATTCCTGAAGTGAGTCCTACAGATTCTCCCTTAAAGGTCTCTCTAATGGATAGGGGGAGTGCAGGCCAGCATAGAGATGTTAAATTTAGATTAATTGGCTAATCGAATAGTTGATGCAATTTGCATTGACTACTCGATTAGTTGATAGGGCACCTCTACCTCCCAGGGCTGTTGCTACACTTCAAAGATGAAAGCACTGCGGGGAGCACAGGGCCAGTGAGGGACTCAAGCAGTCCCCTGCCGGCCCCGGGCTGCAGGCAGCATTTCAAAGCAGCCCTGGGCTCCACATGGCGCTGCCACTTTGAAGCCCCCTCTCCTTTTTCTCCCCACTCCTCATTTCTGCCTCTTTCTGATAGACTAATGATTAATCGACTAGTGTGTCGCCTATCCAATAAGCATTTGGATAGTCGACGAGTCATTCACATCCCTAGGCCAGCACCTAGTGACTAACGGGTTAAACTCAGGTACCTAGTGAGTGGTGGTAGCAGAAAGCCAATGGAAAAGACTGTTGAAATTTGAATTGTATGTAGATATCTAGATGCTTCTTCTTTTGTGTGAGTTCTAAGTTAAGGGCTGGAGGGAGCAACATGCAGTCGTCATAATTACCATATCTACAAGGAATTTTGGGCATGGGAGTAAACTGAGCCTTGAAGTACAGACCAGCACGGATCGTGAGTAGAAAGAAGAATGTATGTTTAGTTGTGATCATGGTATTTTTCTTTGTTTTGGTTGTTTGGTTCAGCTTCTCTGTGTAAAATCCATGTGCTCTCCTTCTTTCCCCATTCACGATATTAAAGCTGTACCTAGAGATACTATGTTCTCTGTTTTTTAATTGTTTTTGTCAGTTGCTATGTAACACTTAGCAACTAAGTATGCTTTATTAAGGATCTCTTTTTGTTTTGTGTTAATAAAGTAATCTTTTTTACAGAGGTGAATGATTCTTGTGTCCTGGAAGGTAACAGGTCTGTGTCTGTGCCTGCCTAGCCTGAGAGGTCAGCTATCAAAGACACAAGTTGTTTTCTGTGTTTTTCTTTGCTTCTTTTTTCAAGCTCTCTTGTGGTAGAAAAGCATGGAGTATCCCTGGAGAAGGAATTCAAATGTTCCTTCCAGGTTTTTCAGGGTTCTTTTAAATCACTTGATGGTGGCAGCCTATCTTCCAGAGCCAGTGCACCTGTAACTCTGGGGAAGGTTGGCTTTTTTTTTTTTTTTTTGGTAAGCAGAGCCTATAGAGGCAAGGTATTTAAGGTCTTTTGCAGGCCCTCACCTTCTGCACTCAGAGTGCCAGAGTGGGGACAGCCCTGACAGTCCCAAACACTGAATGGGTCTGTTATTTGTTCAGCACCAACACTGTGCTCAGTGCTATGCAATACATAAAACCAGGGTTAATCCTTGCCAGATGAGGTCATAGGCCCTGAGTTTGCAGGCCCCAAGACTGAAAAAAAAAATGCATGTAGCTAACTTTATGCACAAGTACTCCTAGTGATGGAGCATACAATTCTAAAACGAACTTGACCTACTGTGTATGCCAGCCTTGCCAAGCAGCAAACTGATTTTTGACCACCCAGAAATTGCTGCAACTAGGTCCTGGATCTCACTACAGACATGCAGACAGGATTCCAATGAAAATTCAAAACTGATATCACTTTCATTGTTCTGTCAGAAGCATGTGACACAATCTGGAAGGATGGTCTGCTACTGAAGCTGAACAAAGAGATCCCTTCTGTGCAGATTCACAAACTGCTGCAACACCAAGTTTAGCAGTTGAAGGATGAGCTTATACCTAAAGAGGTCAAACCAGCTAGCCACACACTTTTAATATTGGGCTAGAGCAGTGGTTCTCAAACTTTTTGGGCTCCGGAGCCCTTTACATGCGTAAAAATTTATGCGGAGCCCCAGCGGTCCACTGATTATATGTGTTGTACCCAGGGCTCGACAAATAATGCAATCTACTCACCTGTGGCGAGTAGACTGCAACCCAGAAGAGCTGGGTTTGGGTGATCTGCCCATGTGCAGAACGACCTGTGCATGCGCAGATCGCCGGACAACACGGCTGGCGAGTGGGGCTCGCAGCAGTTCGGCGAGCCCTAGTTGTACCTATCCATGTTTCCAGTTTGTCAACCTCGCGGAGCCCTTGGAGATATCTCGTGGAGCCCTGGGACTCCGCGGAGCACAGTTGAGAAACACTGGGCTAGAGAAAGACTCTGTTCATGCTCCAACACTCTTAAAATGTGTACATGAGTGCTATACTTGAAACAGCAGCTCAGAAATTTGCATATGGTGATGATTTGGCACTCACAACTCAGGCCCATGAGTTAAAGAACATCAAGTGACCTTTACATCTGACCTTAAGATCATAGAGGAGTACTTCCAAAACTGGGAAATGAGATCAAATCCAAGCATCTCAGCAGTCTCTATTTTCCCCCTTGATAATACAATGCAACAAAACACTAAGGCTATGTCTACACTGGCAGCTTTTTGAGCAAGAACATCTTGCACAAGGGTTCTTGTGCAAGGCGTCTTGCGCAAGAAAACGTCCACACTGCCATGTGCGCGATGTGCTTTTGCACAAGAGCTCCCATGGCAGTGTGGACGCTCTCTTGCACAAGAAACCTCTGATGGCCATTTTAGCCAAAGGGCTTTCTTGTGCAAGAAATCCCTGCCGAGCGTCTACACTGCCCTCTTGTGCAAGAGCTCCTACGCAAGAGGGCTTACACCTGATAAAAAAGAGCGTAACTCTTGTGCAAGGAGCCCTCTCTTACCACGCCATACTGTAAATTTCCTTGCACAAGAGCGGGCAGGCAGTGTGGACGCTCTGCAGATTCTTGCGTAAGAACGGCCGTACTTGTGCAAGAAGCCGCGCGAGTGTAGACATAGCCTAACTGTTGAGTTTTGTGGTAAAACTGTGTTAATACCTCAAACCTACATATCTCAGGAAAATTCCTATTTGCACATTGACCTTTCTTGACTATTTCAAGAAAGTAGCCTCTGGAGTGAAGACTTACATCAACATTATTTAGAAGTTAGCAGGAACAAGCTGGTTTTAGCAGAGTTGCAGAGTACTGTGCACCAATGTAAATAAGAAGCTGCCATTCCCAACTTGTGGATAGGCAGCTGAATCAGACCATGCAAATCAATATGGGATCATTAAAATCAACACCTCTACCGTGGCTTTCTGTATTAGCAAACATTGAACATCCAGCTATCACATAAGATATTGCCACAACATGAGAACTAAAACCCACCAAAGACTATTCAGAACTCCCCATCCAGAAGGTTATGGATGACAAATCTTAAAAGCCCACAAAATAATGAAAATCATAATGGACACCTCATGAAGATCTCATATATCTGGATCTGGCCAGGGACTGGCAAAATGTCTGGACTCATCTAGGGATGTAAAAGTGTAACCGTTTAAATGGTTAACCAATAAGCATCAGCTTATCGGTTCCCATTACAATTACATGCCAGCTCCTTTGGAGCAGGGTTGGCAGATGTCAAAAAAACCCCAAACAAACAAAAAAAATTCTTTAAAAACTGTGTGGTGAGGCTTTTTGGCCCTAACAGGCTGCTGGTGGCCACCTGCCATCTTGCCTCCCTATGCTGGACCGGACAGCTCCGCAGTAAGCCCTAGGGTTGCCAGGCTGCCTCCATATTGAGCCGGACAGCCTGGGATTTTCGCCTCCTGGCCAGGAAAAAAAAAAATCAGAAAGTACCGGACATTTTAGGTGTCCAATATTTTCTGAATTTTTTTTTACGAGACAGGAAGTGAAAATACCAGACTGTCTGGTTCCATACCGGACACCTAGCAACCCCACACTGAACTGCATCTAAACAAGTAATGGAAGATAAGGTTACTTGATACAAAAAGTGAAAAATCCTCTGTGTGTGACTGCAGTAAAAATATCAAACCAAATGCATCATAATACAGTGGTCCAAATACGAATTCAAATATTTGGGGTTTTATATAGGTTCTATATAGGAGCCTATTACTCCCCACGCCCATCCAAATTTTTCACACTTGCTATCTGGTCACTCTATCTTGATCCCACCTGGCACCACCATGGGACCACTCCAGAGATTCATGGATTCAGAGGATTGAGTCAGATCTGGCAACTGAATGATGACTGCAGGATGGCTGACAGACTTGCCATGCCCCTATGCAAGATGGAGGGGGCGGGATGGCTCGATGCCCAGAAGAGGTGGGGTCTCGGGCACAAGGAGTGGAGATGAGGATAATCTCCCCCAACTTCAGTGCTGCCCAGGGTTCTGATGGCAATTTAAAGGGCCCAGGGCTCCTGCTGCTGCCATAGTAGCAGTGGCCAAGAGCCTTAGGGCCTCAGGACCTTTTAAAAATCGCTGGACCCTAAGGCAGTTACCTCTTATGCCCTCCTTGTTCCAGTTAGCATCACTGGATACCTGGTGTGACACTGTTAACCATAGTTACTGTTACCGGCACAACAGGTCTTACCAGGCTATGCACATTTGATGAGGACAACTCCCCAGCTAACCAACGTCTTGAAACCTCTCAAATAAACCCCAAAATTTCAAAGTTGAACATCAGATTCAGGCTTGCTCAACTGTCATCTAGCTAGTCTCATTTCTACTTACAAATGCAGACACAGAAACTCATAAGACATACTTAATTTAATAGGCTTCTACTTCTTTCAATTTCTTGTCAATTCAAGGGGTTTCATTGTCTTCCTAATATTAGAACACGAGTGACACCTAGTGGACAGAAAAGAAATCAGAGATATAGTATTAGACTATTAACAAAACTGATATAGTCTCTAGAATTTATAGTCCATTATTTTATCTTTTTGAGTTACATTCAAGAGATTACTGTAATAGAAAAACTGTGGGTTCGGAAGAAACCTTAAAAGCTTTGTCCTCATTGAAAAATAAGGACATGATGCTAAAAAAAAAAAAAAAACAAGGATGAAAAAAACAGAATGCATTCAACCACATACATTATATTAATGTACAGCTCCTAGCGCAGTGAATCTTAAGAGTGAGATTCTGTGCTGTGTCAGAATATACGGCCAAGTGGGAGGGAATATTTAAGGTGGCATTGAGCCATCTAGCGCCTTCCTAATCCTGTTTACTTTGGGGGACAGAGAGGTTGTAGAAAGTCCTCATTGGTGGTGGTGCAAATAGTGAAGAAAATTATGTCTTTTTTTTTCTTCCTCTTTTACTGATCACATTCCCAAAACTCCCAGACCATTACAGTAAATAAAAGTATCTAAGTAAAAAGTTGATCCATGGACCTAGGTTACTTTGAAACCATGCAAAATTATCTTATTTGGGTATTATCAACAAAATGTAATTTATAAGAATAAATCATACTCCTCTAAGTCTTTTTTTAAGCTACATATAAATTACCCGCCAGATGGCACAGTTAGACTAATCTACAACTAGAAAGTTTTCCAATCACCTAAGAATACCTATAAACACATTGTTAATTTATAAAGAAATCATCTTCTCTATCAAAATTAACTTACTTTATGCATGTAGTGCAGAGATAGTCCTGTGGTTAACACACCAGACTAGAAGTAAGGAAATCTGCATTTTGTTGTTTCCAGATCCTCCTCCCCCCAGTGTGTGTGTGTTACCTTGGGCAAATTCTTTAAGCTGTAAAACAGGGATAACAGCCTCTTGAAGGGTTGATGGGAGGCTATTTTGTACGGTACTCAAAATCCTTGTTTGGAAGGCACTTCATAAATGCAAACTTGAAGTTTTATGAATTTATCAAAACTATTATTTTGATGATTTTATTGGTTCCGTAACAAGAAAAAGAAACCCATATAGGAAGAAGTGTTGTATTTCAATACTGTTAAACAAAATCAATTTATTTTAGCAGACAAGTCAAGTAGTCACCCCCAACTAACTACCAATAAACTGAATGTAAATGTGCTGACACTCTGCAATTCTATGGAGTGCTCGACCCGCCCTCCATCCCCCCGGTCCCATGCTCCTTTTCCATCCATTCCTTCCTCCAAACTTCCACCACTTCCAGCCTTTGTTTGCTCTCATTCTGCCTCTTTCCAATTTCACTCTGCCTCTTCCCACTTCATTCTGCCTCTAACCCCGCCTCTTCCTGCTCCCACTCCTCCCCCATCCTGACAGCACCTCCTGCATGCTACGGAACTGCTGATCGCCAGTTGATGAGAAGTGCTGATGCGGGGGAGGATCTGATTTACAGGGTTGCTGAGCACCCACAATTTTTTTTTTTTTTTTTTTTTTGCCTACAGCACCTCTGGAGTCAGCACCTATGGCTGAATGTGCAAACCAGAAGGAACATCATTTGTCTGCTTGGGAGAAAAAATCCATCCAAAGCAACAGATGATGCTAAAAAATTACCATTAAAAATGGTAGAGAGTAAAGACATTGTTTTCTGAAATTCATGCATTGGAGCATCACACAAAAAAATGACGCACATTCCAGATCACTACATTTTTATGCAAGTTAAAATGGTATTTATCAGATGTCTGACATGCCTGCTACTGCATGTGCTCACACACTTCTTTCTCTCTCTCCCGCATCTGCACCTCCAGAACAGCCACCACTGTTGGTTTTGGAGGTGTGGCCCATAAATGCTTACTATATTATTTTTTATATGGCCTCCATCACTTTATTATCTGAGTGCTTGATTTCACACGAGATAGTAACCTGAATATAAATGTCCCTAAAAATCACTTGCCAACTTCTGCCTAACCACTCCACTCCCTTTTCCCCCCACTCCACCCTGCCGGGTAATCTAACAAGCTTATTCTTGTCCACCACAATTACACTCCACCCTATATATGTGCGTGATTAATACCACAGTTTCAGGGTTTTATAATTAAAATAGTGAAGCCAAGTACTCCTGAACACTAATAAAATCCCCATTGGTTTTACGGAAGACATTGCTTTGTCCTGATTTCTGTAAACCCCAGTGGACTGGACACCCGAAGGAGCCACCAGATAACTGAACTTTTAGAATGGATAGCAAGTGAGCTGGGAAGTATGTACACACCTCAGGAACCAAGCACAGATTTACCAAGTGATCATATACTCATTCAATTACATCTCACAAGAGTAGCCCAATTAGCCAGCTCTTCCTCACACAGGCTCCTGCCTAATCTATGGCAATCTTCTTATAGTTTCCCATCATTGTTGACACTTGTTGTTATACTTTATTAATTATTATTATTATTATACATAGTGTTGATTAAAGCTGCTCGGAGAAGAGTTATGACATTTAGTTGAAGATGCCAGCAGCCCATATATACTAAGTCTCCCAATATGCCAACACTAGTGGATCTAAACAAGTATTAATTATTGTGGAAAATGTCTTAAAAACTTTCCACAGCACAGACAGGGCTGTACAGTCAGAAGTAAACAGAGTCTGAGCACACTGCTGAAAGTGGCAAGTTTACAGGCAGTTTGGCTGCCATGCTACCATATGCAAGCAGTTACTAACCTATATCTGGAAGTAGCATCCATGCTTCTGTTCACCTCCCCTGCAGCTTGTAAGTACTGGACTATTGTTTGGTATTAGGGATGATGGTGGCAAAGCAAACGTGAAGAAAAGGATTGAGACTGGAAGTGAGAGAGGATGTTTTGCAGGAGGGAGACATGAGGGAATAACTAAGGCAGGAAGGAAGATTAAAAAGGTTAAAGCAAGGGAAAAGACAGGTGAGAAAGGAGCATAAGAAAATATAGTTAAAAGCAGAGAAAATATGATGAAAGAATGAACATCCAGTGCAGTTCATTTGTTTAGCAGGTTCTTCATAATAAAAAGAGATTCTGTCACTACTATTGTCTCCCAATTAAGTAGGATATACCATTGTTTCTCAACCAGTGGTACAAGTACCCTTAGGGGTACTCGAGAAGTCTGGGGGATACATCAACACAACTAAAATTTGGAGAAAACTGAATTTTTATTTTAAGTTTTACAGCGTTTTATTATTTTTGTACTTTTTACACCCAAAAATGTCATCGCCTACATGGCTACAATTAAGTTGTCCAAACAAATGTGTTGCAATGGTAGAAAAAAATTGTGTGTCTGAAAACTGTAGGTACTGGGGGTACTTATTATTATTTTTTTAAAAGGGGTACTTTATAACAAAAAAGGTTGAGAAACACTGGGATATACAAACTATTCCTGAGCAATAAGAATGTTTAAATTTAGAGCCAACTATAAATGCTGACTACTTATTTTACTCCAGAATAAAATAAAGGCACCTTAGTTTGAGAAATTGAAGATCATGCCATTTTATATTTTGCAATCAAAAAGGGTGGTGTTCTGAAAACTTACCTGGGCAAGCTGTCTTTCCACTTGTCACAGCTTGTTCAGGTTTAATTAGTGTAGGAATCTGTAACACAGTAAAAGTAAAATACAGATTTATACATAGTATACAAAAGCCAAGGATTAGAATTTATCACTGACATTTTTATTGCAAAGATTACAAAAATGTGAAAATTTCCTTATACACAGGAAAAATACTATACGAAATACTGTATACCCCCGCCAAAGCATAAACTCAGTGTGGCTATGGCCAGCTCAAAGGAAGTTCTTCCAAAGATAGATGAAAATCAGGAAACTCCCAAAGAAGCAGCAAAGAGGAATTGTTTTACATCATTTCTCCAGACCAACTTCTACTGTTATGTCTACAGGAAACCAGAACATATTTATCTAGCCAACAGATAAAGGTTAGATAGAGGGCCAGTGAGCATACCTACTATCTATTTAACAAATAATCCTTTGTACGATTTATCCATCTCCCAACTCTTCATACTTTTCTTGTCTTTTTTCAGCTGAGAGCTCTCTGAGGCAGGAATGGCAACTTGTGTTTAGGAAATGCATAGCTCATAGGCAACAAAGCAATCATAAACAATAATGCAGGTTGAACCTCTCTAGTCCAGTATCCTCAGGACCAGTACCAAACCAGAGAATTTGCCAAAACTTGGGAGGTCAATATTGTCCAGCAGAATTACTAACACTTACACTGCTTATTGGTCTCAGAAATTTAGAGGTAAATTAGAGCTAAATAATAGCAAAGGACACTAAGAGCCAGGACTGGTGGCTAAAAGCTTTATGAGATCATAGGGAACCTGACCACACACCATGATAAGTGTACATCTGGCTAACTAAAATCATGCTGGACCACGGGTGTTGCTGGAGCAGAGTGTACCAGATTAGAGAGGTTTAACCTGTAGTACAGGCAGTCCCCGGGTTACATGGATCCAACTTACATCGGATCCCTACTTACAAACGGGGTGAGGCAACCCCGCACTAGCTGCTTCCCCCCAGCAGACCAGGGAGACGCGAAGCTAGCGCCCCTCCCAGCAGACCAGGGAGACGCGGAGTGGCTTTTCTCAGCAGACACCTCAGCTTGAGAATAAAGGACTGAGGGAAGTGAGGTGTGAGAGAATAAAACTGAGCTCTGGAGAAATGTTTGGCTAGAGTTTCCCCTACAATATGTACCAGTTCCGACTTACATACAAATTCAACTTAAGAACAAACCTACAGTCCCTATCTTGTACGTAACCCGGGGACTGCCTGTACTTTTATATAGGGATATAAGCAACTAGTTGAGTATCCAATTCAACTAGTTGCCTCAATCAGAGAGAGGAAGCAAGGGGCGGAGCATCAGCCGGTGCTGGAGGGAGCTGGTTTAAAAGCCAGTCCCCTTTCCCCAACATCATATCGGGCGGTGGGGAGGAACAGAGGTATAGCAGGAGACTGGGTGGCTCTTAATACATTTAAAAAGCACAAGCACACCAGGGGGGACCAGGAGCCAGCCTGGACAGTTGATTCCTGGCTTTGTCCAGTCCCCCCTGCTGCGCTCCAGCCTGGCTGTTCTTAAAACATTTAAAAGGCAGAGCCACAGCAGGGTTGATGGAAATCCCATCAACTAGTCAATTAGCTGATTAAACCCCATTTAAAATCCCTACTTCTATAATTCTGAAAAATGATCCAAACCCAAGCCTCTTTGAAAAGTAAACTAGAGCTTGGTTTACTTTTAAAAGTTATATTGGCATCATTACATCAGTCAGGGTTGTAAAAAAAAAAAAAAAAACCAGACCACTGTCTGACAGCTATGCTGACAGAACATGCAGTGTTGATACAGCTATGCTGACAGCAGAGTGCATCTGTCAAGGTACCAAACATTGTTTGAAGCAGTGGTGTACCTGAACAGGTAGAAATAGTCCTTCTGTGGGTATACACTGCATCTATATTAGGCTATGTCTACACTTTCAGAGTTTTTGCACAGTCAGTTTCACCGGCGATAAGGAACCAGTAAAAGAAAAGTGTGGTCACTTATGGTCACAAGTTCAGAATGTCTACTTTTGCAGCACTTCCCTCCCAGGTGCAAGCAACACCTGAAGGCAACTATCCCACAGTACAGCTCTTGTAAGAAGCAAAGGAGAGGGGAAATCATGAGGCATCCTGCATCCCTGCACATCCCCCTTGCCCCAAACACTGGTCAGCTCCAGTAGCTCAGCATTGCTACAAGCAGGGGATTGATTGTTCCATGGAGCAGGCATTGTCACCTGTCCAGACAGTAAGGGTACGTCTAGACTACAGGGTTTTGTCGACAAAGCAGCTTGCTTTGTCGACAAAACTGAATGTGTCTAGATGCTCTATGTCAACAGAAGTTTTGTCGACAGTATCTGTCGACAAAACTTCCGTCGACAAAACCCTGTAGTCTAGACGCAACCCTACAGGCAATAACACCTTCTGTCGACAGAACTCTGTCGACAGAAGGTGTTATGCCTCGTAAAAGGAGGTTTACCAGCGTCGACAAAACTGCTGAGTTCTGTCGACGTTATGTCGACAAACCTGCTGAGTTCTGTCGACATTATGTCGACAGAACTCAGCGGTAGTGTAGATGCAGGTATAGTTTTGGCGACAAAAGTCCACTTTTGTCGACAAAACTCAGTAGTCTAGACAAACCCTAAGTGAGCACTTGCCAAGAAAAAGAAGGGGAGTTTCAAATTTCCCAGGGCTTTACAAGGAGCGGGAAGACATCTGTTTACCTGGTGTCAGAGCAGCAGAGCTGTTGGCTAGAGTGGTCACCTGCACATTGTGAGATATCCTACGGAGGCTACAAGCTCCATAAACAGTAAGAAAGTGTCTTCACTTGCACATCACTGCTAAAGAATCAGCAGTAAGAGCTGTATGCCTCTTGTGGAGGTGGTTTTCTTTTTGCAGTGATATTTCTGAATTTTACCACAAAAAGTCATTGGCACCTAACAAAGCTCCCTTAAATCCTAGCCTAGACCAGGTCAAACAAGACATTTTTGGTGGCCTCAGAGTACAGCCACCAACTCTTGTGATGGCCATTCTGACAATTTTTCCGAAAATACATAACTAACTTTAGGAAAAACAAATAAATATGCACATATATAAGTCCAAATCGTAATTCATGTAGATTTTTATTGCAGACAATAATAAAAACGTACAATTGTCACTATTCTTTACTGGGCCTAAACAGAATAGAAATAAATATGCATTCTATGTTCTTATCTTTTTTGTTGTTGTTGCTTCTTTTGGTTGCTTGTGTGTGTGTGTGTGGGGGGGGGGGAATTCACTAGTTAGTAAGCCTGTTTGTTAACACTGCTTCCCGCCTCCCCTCCTCCCCCCTAACCGGGGTGCTTTCCTTCTCTAGGTCCTGGCTTTAAGTAACTGAGATGACCATAACCTGCAGCAGGGGTTCCCAATTCCCACACACTCCTCAGTTAGAACATAGTAGTGCAGAAAGTGCAGCCTGAATGATTTTGGAAACTCAGGTGACAACTAACAGGAAACTTAGAATGATTTAGTCATAACACAACAGATACTTAAATAAATATTTAGTAAGTCATGAAGGTATTTTTAAAAGCATATTCTGCACAGCTCTTCAGCATGGGAACTGCTTTTCTACTAATTGGGGGAGGCCACTTTAGTGCCAATCCCAAAAGGTGGCTCAAGTCTATTAATGCAGCATACAGTCCAAAAATCTGTTATCAGAAAATCTGTTATCTGTTGCAAGTACTGGAAATCTAAGGCTTTCAGAGCAATTATAAATTAGAGCTCCTAGTTTTAAAAATTATTTTGATTAATTTCCTAATTGATCATTTAACTGTGAAATTAATCAACACTTTCTAAAGAAACATAATATACCCAACACCTATAAAAGTGCTAATTTTTTGTGCAGACTATAGAAAACAAATAGTAAGCAAGGCTTTGCTATATTTGCTTAATAGGGATGTAAAATTCAATGTTATTCGTTAAGCAGTTAAACATGAAGTTTAACCAGTTAACCAATTAAGGAGGGGCCCACTCCAGCCCAGCAAGGGGGGAGGGGAGGGAAGAGTACTCCAGCCTCCATCAGTTCACCGGAGCCAGTAAGCATCACCCATTAAGGGTGATACTTATCGGTTAACCTTTCACATCCCTATTGCTTAAAATACATTATTGTGTGTATTATATATATAACACGCTCTCTCTCATTATAATATATATATTATAAATATATATTATATTTACCTGAATGTGCCTGTACTTCTTAAAAGTTTCAGTTAAAGAGGAATTTAAACACCAAAGTTTGGACATGGATCTGAAATTTTCAAAATTTAAGATATTCAGGTCTGGAATTTAGAGTCATCTTTAATTCCCATTGTGCCTAACTTAGAATTCATCACACAGTTAAGATGTTACGGAAAACACAGAACACTAAGAAACTGTGTGGCAATGGCTGAAGTAATAAGAGACTTCTCAAACTGAAGTCTCTCTCTCTCAGATTCCTTATGATTTGCTTTTTTATTTTGTCAGTCCACGTGCACTGAGTATAAAAGGGCAGCATTTATATCGCATATATGGAGCCCATTTGCTATGCTATCCAAGTAACTACTTGTTCTGCTTCTTTGTCATTACTTCTGCACCCTGTGGCAACACCAATCTGGTACTAATAGATTTGGTTTTTAGCACAATTAACTGATAGGAGTGACCAAAGTGAGCAGTGCATAGATAACATGTTCCATTATAAAACTGTATAAAAGGATTTTCAGCATTTCTGCTCTGCCTTTCTAGCTCATGCAGCCACCCTATTTTTCACACTGATGTTGCATCAGACAGTTAATATAATAAATTTACATGGGTTGAACAGTACATTCCAAACACTACATCTATGTCCTTTTGAGGGGTTAGGATTTTTCCCCTGGTTTTCTTTAATAGGTATTCAGACATGGTTAAAAGAAAAAGAAGAAAATGTGCTCTGTGCCATCCAGTTATGTAGTTGGCGACTAGTCCTTTTTACCCTGCCAAGAAGTCTTGCTGTACTTCCAAGAGAAACAATGGCTTGTTTAGGACCTCTCCCATGAACTTCTA